GCTGGACTCTGCTTCGTCCACGGTGAACGAGCCGTTTTAGGTAGGCGTGGTTGACTCTTAACTTTTATAAAGAATATCTCTTTGGATTTGAGACTTTAGTCTTTGCAACTTTACAGATCTTCTTTATGCACCAAGAGCTTGTAACACTCCAAAGAGAAAGGAGAAATTGAAATCGCATCATATGTCCCCTTTAAAGTTTAAAAGAGAACAAAATAATAAAATAAAATAAACAATAAAAACAGCTTACTCTTTCAGAACACCATAATGAGCGAACAAACTGTTTAAATGGAGGTGGTTTTCACCTTTCAACCTTGTCCTCATGACAAATCAGTCAGTCACCATAACCCCTGATCTCCTCATCTCCTTATCCAAACATGGAGCCATAATACCCACTTTCATCAAACCATCATCACATCAGTCCAGCGCTATCAATAAGGCTACATATTTGGCTCAGTTCATCAGATGGTGTTTATTTTGCTGCTTTAGTAAACATGCAGTGGCAGCGTGCAATCAGCCGCTTTCGATGCATGTGCACGCAGGCACGCACAGCTCATCCTCTCGCGCACGCAAACACAGCAACAGTCCCCCGAGAGACTGCAGCACCTCCCTAACGTACCCACTGGAACTTCACACTTCCCATTCTTCATTTCACTTTAGAAACAAACAGACCTATTCAGGTCTAGCAGCAGCCAGGCCTGTGTACGAATTATCACAGCTTTCGAGCAAGTCTGAATTGCATATATGCAAAAGAACATAAGCTAAGATGATTCAATACTGAGTGTAAATGCATATGCCAGATTCAAAATGCTATTCAAAATGCCTCAAGTTTTCCCTTCTTTGTTCTTAATGTATTACATCGAGGCTCGAAATCCAGTCTTTACAGCTTCCAGACAGTGAGCGGCTGGAGCAGCAGAGATAGATGGACTCATTAGTGAGTCAGGCAAGCATGAGGGGAAAAGTGCTGTTAATTATGATTAGGACATCATTATTCACATGTTAAGAGCTGAAGTGAAATATGTGTATATTAGTTCAACTCCAGTACATCAAGGTTAAATTTTGCTTATATTTAAGAGGACTTAGGTCTGTGTTGCCACATGCCAATGCTCTAATGCTCGTGTAAAAGTTGCTGTTTCAGTGCTAGTGTGTGTGGTTGGTTTACAGTGCATTGCTATGATTTCTAAGTTGTTTTGAATTATTTTTGTATGCTCATATGCAGTGCATGCCGCTGCTTTGTTTTTCAAAGGTGTGCTACTTACAATCACAATTAATTAGATAATAATGTTCAGTGCATGTCTAAAAATAGATTTTTATGGTTGTTGCCACATGCCAATGCTCTAATGCTCGTGTAAAAGTTGCTGTTTCAGTGCTAGTGTGTGTGGTTGGTTTACAGTGCATTGCTATGATTTCTAAGTTGTTTTGAATTATTTTTGTATGCTCATATGCAGTTGCTAGAATGTTCAAGGTAGTACAGGTCAAAAAGCCCATAACAAGTGTCCAAATGTAGCTCAGGACACTTCAAAATATTATTCTATTTTAATAATAAATATTAATTTAACATCTATATAACAATAAAAATGGTCTTACATAATATTTATCATAAACATATTTATTAAAATATAAAATAATTAATAATATTAAGTATTATTTAAATGTTTTTTAATTACATTGTTGAAAAAAACTAAATGTTAATTTTTATTTTTAATCATTATTTATGTTTATATAATTATATTCACGCATTACATTTATTTATACTATTATAGACAAAAAAAATAAAAAAAGTAGAGTAATAAATAAGATAATAAAAGGTCAGTTGGACTGGAATACTTTTTTGTATATGTTAATAATAATTATATGTATAAGTATATTTATGTAATTAAATAAAATAATAATAATAATTTGTTTGGAATATTGCCTATAACATGTTTTACAAATACATATTTTTAATCAGAAATGTGATTTACTCTGATAATTAGCGCAGAGGAGACATGTTATTACATTTATTTATAGTATTTTAGAATAATAAATAAAAAATAGAGTTATACATTTATTTTATACTATTTTATACTATTTATCTTAATAGATAGTATGTTTATACTATATTTTATACTATCTAAATACTTTAAAATATATATATTATATAATAAAATATATTAATATTTTTTAAAATATTTTTTACATGTTAATAATATATATTATGTAACATTTATATATCTAAATAATTGTATATTTATTATTAACAATTATATTATGCATAAACATATGCAATATGACAACTTTATATTTTATATTATTGTATTATGTTATATATATATATATATATAAATTCTTCTTATTTGTTTGTTTTAAAATACTGCACATATAATATTTTAAATAGATAGATATTTTAAAACATATTTCGATAAATAGATGGATATTTGTAATAAAATGTGATTGACTCTGATAGCACAGCCTCTGGGATCAGTATGAGTAGTGGTGAGGTACCAGCAGCAGCAGCAGCAGCTGTATTAGCGCAGAGGAGGAGGCGCTTCCCCTTTAATTTGCCCACGCTGTACATCGGTAAGGAGTGGTGGTGAGCAGCAACACGGATCACTGTAGTCCCTTTGTATGCGCAGCAGTGCCCAACTGCAGCCTATACCGCTCGCTCTTACACAATAATTATGAGTAAAAGACGAAAAGTTGGACTTTGACATGAAATGGCTCGCTCGCGCCGCGCCACTCCCTAAAATGAACGAGGAGAGCACAAGTAAGCGCACGAGGAATCCCTGTGCTTAAGTTGATGGATATTTTGCATCTTGAAAACAACTCGGGAAGGTTGACTTTTTATTTTATTTTAGTTTTATTTATTTTATTTTATTTTTTTAATGCATGCTTTGATGCATCAATACCTTGAGTGAAACGAAATGCGTGAATGCCTTTAGCACAGTAATGCATGGGCATGCTTTGATCATCCACCTAGAGAGGAACCTATTCCTGAAGCATGTCACTGCAGACACCCCGCGCTTGCTTGAAGGGGTTTAAACACTGATCACAGCCGGTGTGATGTGTTTTTCATGGGTGCATGAGCCTGGAATCTGAATATGTGTCCTGTAATCAAAAAAACAAAAACAAACAAAAAACTTGTTTTCGGGCAATTGGATAACACTTTAAAAACGGACGCTGTCTTTGCGCAACGGAAAAACAACCCAAACAAACAGCGAAATTATGACTGGGAACATCTGAAACGTGATGCTCTATGGATTTCTGCCCGTAAGATGAGCGCGTTTGCTCAACAACAAGATGTTGCCACTCCTCAGAGCATCATTTTGGCCACCGAACTCGAGCGGCCACACGTATTCAGGCAATTCTCCAATTCATTGCATTTAAAATAAATGATTGTCTAAAATTATTGAAAGAGCTTCTGCAGTATTTCCAAAAAAAACAATACTGCAATTATTTTACAGCATGTAAATGTATTTTTCCGACTACAGCTCTAAATGGTATACAGATACACTATACAGACCTTAATTGGAAAATGATGTGCATGTAAACGTAGACATATATGTTTATTAGATATATTTGTCTTACCTACTGATGGGGAACTGAGGTAGAAGACAGTGTTGCATTTCTTCAACTTTTCTATCTCAAGCAGTCTTGCTGTCTTGGCGAAATGCATTTGGGGAGGTTTTGGAATATCTAATTATGATTTAAGTGCACTCAGGCTGTTATTAGATTTACAGTGCATAATTGAATCCTAAGAGGAATGATACAGTCTTACCATGGCAAGTATTGATCTACTTGGCAGATAAAAGCAACTACAATGTGTAAAGTGGTCAGGCTGACTTCTCCATATGATTGATAGGTGTCTTTAGATGCCCTGGTTTTCTAGAGCCATACTTTATGTGTATTTCCTCAGCAGCAATGCTTTGGGTCCTTGAGCAGTGCTTTGAAGTCTCTTCACTTTTATTTTAGATTTGATGGTGTTTGAATAACTTGCTATATTAGTTCAAAAACAAAATGAGTGCTTTATGCATGTGTTGAGAAAGCCAAATAAACTCACAGTAGAGTAGAATAAATGCATTATCTACTAAGCACATTGCATTCTTGCAGTGAGCATGTTGAATGCATGTTGGCCTAAGTAATCTTTTCTTCTGCTTTATATTTCTTTCAGTGTTTGCAAGAGGGAGGTGTTAAGGAGTGAAAGGAAGCCCCCAAATTCCCCCTCTTCTTTCCCACAAACTTTTAGAGGCAACACCTTCGCATCCTGACCGCAAACTGCAGGTTGCATTCGTTCACAGCATGACTGTTGCCACAGGCGACCCAGTTGATGAAGCCGCAGCTCTCCCGGGTCAGCCACAGGACACGTATGACCCGGAACCAGACCATGAGTGCTGCGAAAGGGTGGTCATTAACATCTCTGGCCTGCGCTTTGAGACGCAGCTCAAAACTCTGTCTCAGTTCCCCGAGACATTGCTCGGGGACCCCAAAAAGCGAATGCGCTACTTTGACCCTCTGAGGAACGAGTACTTTTTCGACAGGAACCGCCCAAGTTTTGACGCCATTCTCTATTACTACCAGTCAGGTGGCAGGCTGCGGAGGCCTGTAAATGTGACATTGGATATTTTTTCTGAGGAGATACGTTTTTATGAGCTCGGGGAAGAAGCCATCGAGATGTTCAGGGAGGATGAAGGATTTATTAAGGAAGAGGAGAGACTCCTGCCAGAAAATGAGTTTCAGAGGCAGGTGTGGCTGCTCTTTGAGTACCCTGAAAGTTCAGGGTCTGCCCGGATTATTGCCATCATTTCCGTCATGGTCATCCTCATATCTATAGTCAGTTTTTGCCTGGAGACACTTCCGGTTTTTCGCAGTGAGGACCTGGACCAGCACAAAATTCCCATGAGCTCCAACTCAACAAATAGTTACACCTCCACCTACTTTACTGACCCCTTCTTCATCCTGGAGACCCTTTGCATCATATGGTTCTCCTTCGAGTTTCTGGTGCGTTTCTTTGCGTGTCCCAGCAAAGCGGGCTTCTTTGTCAATATAATGAACATCATTGACATTGTGGCTATAATACCTTACTTTATCACCTTGGGCACAGAGCTAGCAGAGAAGCCAGAGGATGGCCAGCAAGGGCAGCAAGCCATGTCGCTTGCCATTTTGAGGGTCATCAGATTAGTACGAGTCTTCAGGATCTTCAAACTATCCCGGCACTCGAAAGGGCTGCAGATTCTTGGGCAAACACTCAAGGCCAGCATGAGGGAGCTTGGGCTGCTTATCTTCTTTCTCTTCATCGGAGTCATTCTGTTTTCGAGTGCCGTCTACTTCGCCGAGGCGGACGAGGCTGACTCGCAGTTTATTAGCATCCCCGATGCCTTCTGGTGGGCCGTGGTCACAATGACGACAGTAGGGTACGGTGACATGGTTCCAACGACCATCGGAGGCAAGATTGTGGGATCCCTGTGCGCTATCGCTGGTGTGCTGACCATTGCCTTGCCCGTGCCCGTCATAGTCTCCAACTTCAACTACTTCTACCATCGAGAGACGGAGGGCGAGGAACAGGCCCAGTACCTTAACGTGACCAGCGTCCCCAAGATAGACTCCTCGGAGGATCTGAAAAAGAGCCGCAGCGGGTCAACCATGAGCAAGTCTGACTACATGGAAATTCAAGAAGCTGTGAACAACAGCAACGAGGACTTTCGAGAGGAGAACATCAAGACCGGCAACTGCACCCTAACCAACACTAACTATGTTAACATCACCAAAATGCTTACAGATGTATAACCTCTTTGAAGTGCCTTGACGAAGAAGGTGAGATAAAGTAGGGGAGTACCGGGAGTACCCCGGTTTTGAAGGCTTCAGACGCCTCGTGCAGGAGTTTCAAGATGGGAGAACTGAAATGCATCCATTTGAGTGAAGGATCAGTAAAGAAGACCTCTCCATCATTCCATCCCCATTCCCTGTCACAAGTTCTGGAAGACTTGATCGGTGGGGGACGTTGTTTTGCATCCTCGTGTTCAGTGTCTGCATGGAGTTTGTCTTTTCTGTGTGACTGTTCTAGTAGTCGTTCTGCTTGCAACAGTAGCCAAATCGTAGCCTAACCAATACATGCAAGCGTAGCATAGAGGGACCAATTCCTGACTCCCATTCGCCCATTCACTGCCAACCTGAGGACCCCTTGAGTGGATTTGTACCTGGGAAGAACAACAATTTTGTCACTCCAAATTGATTAGTGGCTTTAAAACATCGAGGAGTTAATGTATATTCGTGAAGAATCACCATGGAGGATGTATTCCTCTGTGAATGCACAAACGCTGCCTGTCCTGCCAACCGCAACAGCATACCACGTGCGGTACCTAAAAATGTTACATTCCATCATGTGACGGAGAAATACATGCATGACCAATCTTGGGGGCCTGGAAAGCTGGTTAAACTGCCCATTTTCTCTATCCATTTTTCCCCCTTTTGCTGCCTAGGATCTCAGTTTGTCCCATGTTAGAGTAAACAGACCTGAAAGTGGAGCGGAGATTGTTTTGAAGTCGCCCGTTTTTCCATCGTCGTCATTCCACTATACTGCATGAGCAGCTGCCCTCCATTGCATCATTTCCTCACGTCACTTACTTTTCCCAGCATTGTAAACTTCCAAGCATTCCATGTGTATGAGAAATGTCTTTTGTAACCGCGATCTACCCCTACAAGCGCCTGACGGGGGGCTGCGGGAGTGTAGATATTTTACTGTGACATTGCAGCCAACAACAGCAAAACTCACTCACAAGTCAGGTCACCAAAGATGAAGTTCACTGCCGTTATTTATTGCATTTTTATGTTCTTTTTACATTTTAGTGCCATTTCATGGTGCATCCTGCTCATAATATGATGCTGGAGAATTTGGATAAAACTTGTATGAAAATGATGCTTCCTTGAATAGCTTTTGTAAGAGATAGGAAATATTCTACTACTTTTGTGGTGCATGTCTGGTACACATTCCTTGTAGCATGCATGTAGTAAGAATGATACTTACAAAACTAGAAATAAGTATTCATAACTTTATCAATATAAATATTTTTCTCTGTGAGATTAACGGTATGTGCAATATTATAAATGCTTGTTTTTGTTTTAAGGTTGCAAGATTTTGCAAATAGTTTTATATGTTAGTAGGCTAATACATTAGATATAGTGTAATAGCCCGCTTTCAGTGTCGAATACCATCAAGGTTGTTCATTTCTTAGTTTGGAGGGAGAGTGAGATGCACCAATTTAAACAAGCATTTCAAAGATCCACATTTGGATATGGGGGAGATCTAACTCTGCAAAATCTCAATTCCTGATTTAATAACAAGGGATTCTCATGATTTTGTGGTGCATTTGACACGTCTACTCTGTAGCTTATCCTCATAACTAAAGATGGTTTCTCTAGCATTGTCTGTTGCATTGATGTTAAAGACCTCATGAAATAAAAATGGACTTTTGCCGCTTTTAATCCAGTTCGTTTTGAGGCCATTGAAATGTTAGCATTCTTTTTTTTTTTTTTTAAGTATATTAAGATATAAGTATAATTAAAATGTTCAGCCTTTCTGAGAAAATGAAGCAAAATACTGATTATATCATCTATTTAGGGGCATTTTTTACAATTTGGCTGATTCGGTGCTCCCAAGAATGAGAAAGTCTCCTTCTTCTAGTGCCAACTAGTTTTTGGCTGGTTAGTCCCCAGTTAGCCCCTGCTGGTAGATAATGTAACTACACCATTATGCATATGCAAAAGGTATATATCTCCATTAAAATGTAGCCATGTGTACTTGTAAAATCATATTTTTTAAGCAACAAATGAATCACATAAAATAACATTTTATTGTTTTTTACACTTGCAACTGTTTTTATTTATTTATTTATTTATTTATTTATTTAATATGTATTTATTTTTGAGAGCTTTTTTCTTTCCAGTCTTTAGTCATGGCATTGTTTTTTTGTAAAACCATTTCATGGGGTCTTTAAAGTGGGAAATAATAGCAGAAAACCTTTTGTTTTGAAATCCAAGTGGTTCAGGGCCTATGCAATTTATAGTTAAGAAGTAAAAAATACTCTGGTGACTAAACATTACATACCCTACCACCCCAGTTTAAACACGCTGAATTGCCCAAGGTTTTTCTCAGAATTAGATTCACTCCACTGCCTAAATACTTGGCAGATCTCCCTGCCGCTATGTTTGCTGTTATGCTGGCCGAATGAGATGTAGGCCTCCGGCCACCGAGGCTACGCAAATTCTCTCTGAAATCTTTGAAAGCCTCTCAGTGAGGCAGTACTGCCATATCCAGGAGCGTGGTGCACCATTCACTCCACCCTTTGCAAATGCAAGACTTCCTAACCTAATAACACTTTTACTTCCCCTGCCCAGAGCTTCAACGAGTGAGGGTTGGGGTTTGAACCTATGCTAAGCCATGCTACCTGCTTTCACCAGTTTTAAGGAAATGTTTAGAGAAAGCAGAGGTTGCTTAAGAAGGGTCTCAGAGACTTGGAAAAGTGAGTGACATATTGCAGCCATTACTTTTACATTTAGCCTTAATGGACGGGACACTGAAAAGACAAGAACTTGTGTCAAGAATGAGATAAGCCACTTAAAGTCAACATGAAACTGTTCAAAAAATGTTGGAAGTTGAAATGAATTGATTAGAGTATGAAAATGACATGTGAGGTTGTATATTAATATATTGTTTTGAAATATATTCACTACGACAGTCAGTCTGTACATTTGTAATACTCTAGAGATTTCGAATACTTTTAACGCTTATATACAAACACAGCTTTGTGACGATACTTTCGAAGGATCCGCTGCTTTCATTGTTGTCTTAACACTAAAGCTGTAGCTTTATAAAACATCTCTGCCATGTAACGCAGTTTCTTAATAGTCGACAAATTCACAGCTGCAATTATATCCTTTAAACCTTATCCAAATCTAGATGTATTGTAGTATTAGTATACTTCATATACGTTAAGCACAAACACAGAGAGAGAAAAGAACCTCTAACTGTAATTATCATAGAAGCTTTGCCTATTGATTATTGCGGTATATAAATGTATCAGCAATCAAACCACGCCTTTATATCTAATCAATATTCAACTGAATGTCATTACAGGCTTTACTGTTCACACTCAGGCATGATTTATGGATTTTAAAAAAGCCCTCATTTGCTATAAACATGTACATGCAATATGGAAATACAGTGTGTATATAGATAAGGATGGGTGGACGAATGAACAAACAGATAGATGAACAGACCATGATTGAGAGGTAAGATGAGCAGATGTGATTCAGAAACAGATCATAACAGAGGTGTTTTGGGGTTGATGGAGGTGGGAGCTCTGAGCTCGCGTCTCATCTTGTTTTGAAGTGAAAGTTAGGCCTTGTTCACACTGCATATTAATCCGGTTTGTTTTCCAAATCCAGATGTTTTGGACTGACTGTCTGCGCTGCAGTGTTTAAAGTGACTGGATCTGTTTGTTAAGACACTGTAGCCAGTCTCTAGTAAAGTGTATCTGTATTGCTCTCTCTGTTAATGACTTTAGCATTAGCATGATGCTAAGCTACTTTCTTTTATAATGGTGTATTTTATTCATCCGATGCATTCATTTACTATGTAGCATATAATAAATTCCACATAGTTCACTACATGGGGGGAAAAAAACATGAAAATGGGTGACCTGAATTATGAAAAAAACATTGAAATCCAATCTGACCATTCATACCCTTGTGAAAAAGATGTGTGCTTAATTGTATTAAATGTGTACTTCAAAACTAAAAAGTATATTTTTACACATCTACACTTATATTAATATCTGAACCTGCAGAAGAGATTCAAATTATTAATGTCTGCACTTGCAGATATTATTTAGTATAAGATAAATGAAATAAAAGTGTTTCTTAACACACTTAAATAGTTTTAAGAAGTGCACTTTGCAATAATGTCAAATGAAAATGTTACAATTGTTTAAATAATTGATTTAATAATATTTTGTCCTGCTTTAAAGTACAATGTGTTGTCTAACATACTAAAGCACATGTAAAGTATTCGGTTATAATTTGAACTGTAGTATGCTATTTGAAATGTATTTAAGATGAATATATTTTAAATGTAATCAATTGCAACTTTTTCATTAGAAATGTGTTATTACAAATCTATTTAAAAAGTTGTAATGGAAATGACTTTAAAATATATACTTTAGTTTACCGTAAATGTGTGCCAGTACATTCAGCAGTACACTTAAACCATATTTTAACAGATTTGTGAAATTACATGTAAAAATGTACTTAAGTCCTTCTTCTGGTGATATATCTTTGTGATATATATATATACTTGAGTATTACTGGAAAAACTGGAAAAGTCCTACTCTCTTAAAAATGATGCTAACGTGTACTTCTATTTATTGAAACATGGTTATTGAAACACGTTTCCAAAAATCTGATTTTAATCGACCAACCGTCATTTCAGACGACCTGTGAATGTGATTTGGATCTATTTTGATCTAAATACATGCTGAAAAATCGAATTTTTGCTGCCTGTGTGAACAAGGCCTTATGAAACTATGAATGGCAAACCTTTGACTGCTTTGTTTCTGTGTAGCAGCACACCTCTCTCCACCGTCTGTGGAGATACTCTTGATGTCAACAGGTTGACGGAGAATGAACTGTGCACTTCAGCCGATGAGCTGAGCTATTAGGTGTTGGTCTGCATGTGTCTTATGTGTGTATGTGACATTGTCCACACATTATCATCCAGGAGGCCTGATCTTTCATTTCTTGTACAGACCTTTTGTTTTCTAGGATAAAGACAAAAAAACTGAGCACAATAATACAACAAAGAGAAGAACCAAGAGATGGAGGACTCGATACATTCTCTGGATGTGATAAATGTCATGCACTTTACAAGGACCACTGGACGCTAATGCTAAACCTAAAAGACTATCTTGGAAAGAGAACAAGAGATGCATCTTTTCCTTCCAAAAGATTAGAACTGTAAAGAGATCTATCAATAATGATTATGAGTATATTATAAATCATGATAAGCTTACAATGACTCGTGATTATTTCTGTGTCTCTTTAATTTTGGGATGATGGTGATGTTGGTTGATTCATTCATCAAACTATTAGTGGTTTCTGGCTGATTTATTGGTTTTAACAGTCTTTTATCTTATTTTATTATTCACATGCTTAATGTCACATGACCTAAAAATAGTGAATCTAGATTTTTTTTTCTTCTTCTTTTAATTCAATGTTACTTTTATAACCTTCTCTTAATTGTATTTATTTATTTATTCACATGACCTAAAAATAGTGAATCTAGATTTTATTTTTTTATTTTTTTAATTCAATGTTGGTTTTGACCTCTTACATAATTGCCATATTTTTTTTTTTTTTTTTTTTTTTTTTTTTTTTATTAAATAATGAACTAAAATAGTGAATCTAGACTATTTTTAGATTTTTATTTTTTATTTGATGTTGGATTTAACCTTATTTTATTTTATTTTTCACATGATCTAAAAATAGTGAATCTAGATTGTGTTTGAGATCCAATGTTGTTTTTTTACAAAATTTATTATTATTTACATGCTCAATGTCACAAATTTGCTTTTTTTTTTTTAAATGAGCTCACTATTATGAATCTAGATTGAGTATTTTTTTTAAATCTCAGTGTGAATTATATATATAT